TCTCTGAAGTCTATTCCTCTTTTAATACAAGAGAGGATTTTGCTAGCTTTAGAAACCGCAGTTTGGCATTGCATCCCATTATTAAGCTTATGATTTACCAGAACTCTCAGATCCTTCTCCACCTTGATGTACAATTTGCACCCGACCACAGGAGGCCTGGCCTGAGGGGAAGGGGCACTGGGTCCCAGTAGTTGAGATGTACTAGCAAGGGGAACCATGGCAACAATAGCAACACTGACACTACCTCCACATCTTCTGTTCTGAGCTTTCGTAGAAACCTGAAGATGAATGGAACTGGAGGAAATGCACAGGCCCCTCTGAATTTCCAATGTTCCGTCAGGGCATCTGTCCTGAAGGCCTGGAGATACCAGCCCCTCATACAATACTTCTCAAGCTTATTGTTGCATGGAGAGGCAAGCAAATCGACTTCTAGACTGACTCCCAGGGACAGAATCCACCTAAAATCCCCTACATGGAGAGACCATTCGTTGTCAATATTGACTCTGGAAAAAAAGTCTGCTAGAATGTTCTGGACTTTGGTGACATAAGCTACTGAGATGTCAATTAGATACTTCTGAGCCCAAAACATAATTGGCTCCACTTCCTGTAATAGAGAAAGGATGCAAATCCCCCCCTTGTCTCTTATGTAGGGGACTGCTGTAGTGTTGTCTAGCCTAAGAGCAAAGTCTGAAGGGCCTGTAGGGTGCAGAAGGCTGCCTGTAGCTCCAGAATGTTCACCACAATCTTGTAAGAGTGAAAAGCCCTACCTGCTTTGAGCTATCTGACATGCAGTAAGCCCCCCATCCTGTATTGCTGGCATTAGACATGATTGTGATCCAGGAAAAGGGGGCAATGGAATGGCAACTGAGTACGTTTCTCCATTGAAGCCACCAGGAAAGACTGAGGTTATGTAGATGCCTGAAATCTACTTCCTGGCTCCCACTGTTGGAGCGGTCCAAGATAAAAGACATAGTAGCTTCTCAGCTACCCGAGGTTGAATTTTTAGCAGACTTCTGATGGGATGACTGGCCTGTTCCCCAGCTCTTCTTAAAATCCTGACCTGGTCTGTAAAAGCATGCAACCCTCACACGCTTTGAACTTTGTCTTCTAGGCTGTGTCCTCTTCTGGCCTAGCAGGTGCCAGTCCTAAGGAAAAAAATCCAACTTGCCACCTATGGGCAGAGCTATGGTGCTAACAAGCTTTTTTCCAAAAGGTGGAGCTCCCTCAAAAGGGATCTTACACCACGCCTGTTTAGAGGCAGGATCAGGAAGCCAAGGCCGCAACTATAACGCTCGCTTTGCTATAATGTACGAGAGCATAACACACGCCACCAGGTGGATGTCAGTTGAGGCTTCACCCAGGAAGGCTGACACCAACTTCAGCTCCTGAACTGCCGAGTTTCTGGCCAATTCATCTGAGAATGCTCTTTGAATACTGCTTACAAGCCATTCACCTCATCTTAAAAAGAAAGAGTGACATATTTTGCTAGCCTCAACAAGGCCTCAACTAAAGAGGAAGCCTCTAGATACTTTACATCCTTATCCCTGGATGGATATAGCTTGGTTATCTTGCTCAGAAGGGAGGTCTTCCTTGTGACCTTGCTCCACTCATCCAAAATGATGTTCCTTAGTTCCGTTAGGAACAGGAAATTTGAGCGCTCTCTCGAGGTGCTTAAGGAACTTCCTTTTGCTTGCAGGAGACTCAACAGGCTGTACCCATTTTAATGCCCCCTTAATTGCCTTTTCCAAAGGCGTCACTAGGGAAAAGTGAATCTTATCTCCCACTGCCTCACTGTTTGAGGTTTTCAAAGATGGATGGCTTGGTTGGGACGGTTCATGCTCTCCCTGGCCATAATTAGCGGGACAGCACCCAATAATGGCTGTCAGACTTTGCGTGTTGCTTGTAACCTACTCTTTAAGGGACCCCTGCACCACGCACCTCGCCAGAGATTCCATGTTATAACATCCCTTTCCCCAATGGCACTCATGCAACCCTACCTGGAGTACAGAGACCACTGTATCCGTTCAGGGGTTACATGGCCACCCACTAATAGCAGGGCTATCCATCCAAATTACCACTTGCCTGCTAATGGCAGGACCTTAGCTCTTCATAGTATTGCATCCTTCTGTACTTTTTCAACCCCGCTAATAGCTGGGGACTCCTGGAACTGAAGAGGAAGGCATCTTCTCAGCTCTCCATTGGCACGGCATCCATCTGCCCCACCCTGTACCCCACTAATAGCTGGGAACTGCTGGGACAAACAAGGGGTGCATCTCCTCAAGACTCCCGAAAAATGGCTTGCATTCTGAGTCCTAGCAGGAAGACAAAAAAGAAATGCGGCCTCTGGCTTTGAGCTAAACTTTATGGGAGTAGGCCCTATAGGATTGGAGAGGAGGCGGGGTTAATCCATTAGTATGCTAACATGAAGTCTGTCAGGAAAGATAATTAAATACAAGTACTTAATAATATGATAAACTCATGGTCTAAAACAAAATACTTGTACAAGCTATTTTATATCAACCTTTGAATGCTGATTGTGTGGTATGTACAGTTGTGTTCAAAATAATAGCAGTGTGTTGAAAAAAGTGAATAAAGCTCAGAATCCTTCTAATAGCTTTTATTTCCATACACACAAATGCATTGGGAACACTATAACCAGTGTTTCTGAGAACTGCTGTACATTTGTGTTGCATGGAGTCAACTAACTTCTGGCACCTGTGAACAGGTATTCCAGCCCAGGATGATTGGACTACATTCCACAGTTCTTTACTATTTCTTGGTTTTGCCTCAAACTGCATTTTTTATGTCACCCCACAAGTTTTCTATTGGATTAAGATCCGGGCATTGGGCTGGCCACTATATAACGTCAATCTTGTTGGTCTGGAACCAAGATGTTGCACGTTTACTGGTGTGTTTGGGGTCATTGTCTTGTTGGAACACCCATTTCAAGGGCATTTCCTGTTCAGCATAAGGCAGCATGACCTCTTCAAGTATTCTGATGTATTCAAACTGATCCATGATCCCTGGTATGCGATAAATAGGCCCAACACCGTAGTATGAGAAACATCCCTATATTATGATGCTTGCGCCACCATGCTTCACTGTCTTCACAGTGTACTGTGGCTTGATTCTGTGTTTGGGGGGTCGACTAACAAACTGTCTCCGGCCACTAGACCTAAAAAGAACAATCTTACTTTCATCAGTCCACAAAATGTTGCGCCATTTCTCTTTAGGCCAGTCAGTGTGCTTTGTCAAATTGTAACCTTGACAATTTGACAATTTTGTCAAATTGTAACCTCTTCAGCACCTCTTTCAACAGTGGGACTTTGCGGGGGCTTCTTGCAGATAGCTTGGCTTCACATAGGCATCTTCTAATTGTAACAGTACTCACAGGTAACTTTAGACCTTCTTTGATCTTCCTGGAGCTGATTGTTGGCTGAGTCCTTGCCATTTTGGCTATTCTTCTATCCATTCGAATGGTAGTTTTTCGCTTCCTTCCACGTCTTTCAGGTTTTGGTTGCCATTTTAAAGCATTTGCGATCATTTTAGCTGAGCAGCCTATCATTTTCTGCACTTCTTTATATGTTTTCCCCCTCTCCAATCAACGTTTTAATCAAGGTACGCTGTTCTTCTGAACAATGTCTGGAACAACCCATTTTTTCCTCAGAATTTCAGAGAGAAATGCACTATAACCAGCATGTACAACATTTGCTGCCTTCCTTCCTTAAGGGCAATAATTGCCACCTGTTTTTCAAAAATGAATGACCTCACTAATAGAACTCCACACTGCTATTATTTTGAACATGCCCCTTTCAATTAGTGATTCAATTACACAGAATCAGCAGCATGCATGTCATGACTGTTGGGTTTCTATTACTCTACTCTATTATTCTACTACACCTGCTAGTAAATTATTTGCCATGTAGAAATATTTCTACCAAAAACAGTGATTGATCAGGTTAGTGATGTCTGACTGCTATTATTTTGAACACAACTGTATATTGATATAAAAAATTAGTAAAGGAGGTTGTACATTTATAAAATATCCATTCCTTTGGGAAGAGTATCCTATAGCCTTTTATTGATAAAGAACATAATGTATATGTAATAGTATTTTTTCCTGGTACATATAAAAAAGGTGGGAAATAAAGGTATTTGGGTGATAAATAAAGGTAATAAGGTGAGTTATTGCTCATATCATCTTTAAGAAGCTTCAACAATTTAAGTAGGCATCCAAGGTTTTGTAGCAGGCTGTGCCTTGACTCCCTATTAAAGCAGCTTGACTACATACCTTCACAGTTCTGAACCTGCATCAGTCTTCAATAGACTGATGTACTGGCAACTTGAACTTACTTTCTGCTTATTAACCTCAATTAGGAAGTATGTTCTACTTCTACTCCATGGCTGATATTCAAGATAATAAACTCTTCTATCACTAGGGCTATGTGTACAGTAGTATTGTTGTGTGAAATGTGAAGTTTTGTGTTTTTTCTCCTTTTTCATTGCAATTCAGACTGTTAGTGTGACAAAATGACTTTGCTACAATTTCTGTTATTGTTGACAATCAAAGATACCACTCAAGTTTACTTTTGTTATTTTGACCAAAACTACTACTCTACTAACGCTGTTCAACTTAAATAAGGAATGGCAAACAACCACATATTATGTTTTAAATAGAAATCTTCTCACATAAAGATGACAAGTCTTTAGCAACTCTATGCACCAAAAAACATGATGCTCCCTTCCTGTTGAGACTATACTGTAAATAAGTGATCGATGTTTGCCAGCTGCTCATTATCTCAAGCATGAAAGCAGCTACAAGAGAAAGTGATCATGAGTCAACAGTGGAGCACTCATTGTCCCCTTGGTCTCGGGCTGTATAATTTTCCCAGTTAGAAAATTGGGTTCTGTTTTTATATTCTGTTATGTTTTCTTTATCTCATTCAGTATACAAAATCCCCATGTCCTTACTCACCCTCTCCCTCCTTTCCCCAAGCTCCTCATTGTTCACATACTTTCAGTTCGCCTTCGGGGTTTCCCTCCCCATCAGTCTTCACTTCTTCCTCTGTTTTTTGGTCGTCTGAGTTAAGATTTTGCATTTTCTTTTTTCTAACACATTTTAGGATGACCAGGAATAAAATGACAAGAGCTAAGAAACCTCCAACTGAAGCTCCAACCAAAACCGCAACCGTTGAATCTCTTTCTGGAGGAACTGAAAGGGGAGAACACAGAAGAGGTAAAAACACACTGGTCATAAAGTACAGAGGAAAGTCAAGCACTATTTGAACAAATACGCTGTTTGTCTACTCATGGAGACTGGGGTGCACATGCGGCTAATTTTATAGAGTAATAGATTCTTGTTTCTTTAGGTTTTCTATGCCCAAAAAAGATATAGGGGTTGATGTACTAAAACTGGCGAGTGCAAAATATGGTGCCGCTCTGCATAGAAACCAACCAGCTTCCAGTTTTTGTTTTTTTTTTTGTTAAAGCTGAACAAGCTGTACTTAGAAGCTTATTAGTTACCATCAGGGCTTTTTCTCTCAAAAAATAGGTGCAGGAACTCAACTACGACCTCCCCAAACACCCCCCTCCCCCCCCACACACACCCTCCAACCCACATCAAATAATGGGTGTGGTCAATTTCATTATGTGCAGAGTTGGAGAGGTTACACACAGAGTGCGGAGTTCGGGGGAGCACTACATACATAATGCAGAGTTCAGAGGTGTGCTACACACAGTGCAGGGGTGTGCTACACAGAGTGCAGAGTTCAGGGGTGCACTACCGAGTGCAGAGTTCGGGGGGTGCGCTACATGCAGAGTGCAGAGTTCGGAGGGTGCGCTACATGCAGAGTGCAGAGTTCGGGGGGTGCGCTACATGCAGAGTGCAGAGTTCGGGGGGTGCGCTACATGCAGATTGCAGAGTTCAGGGGGTGCGCTACATGCAGAGTGCAGAGTTCGGGGGGTGCGCTACATGCAGAGTGCAGAGTTCGGGGGGTGCGCTACATGCAGAGTGCAGAGTTCGGGGGGTGCGCTACATGCAGAGTGTGGGGGTGCGCTACATGCAGAGTTCAGCCTTCTTCCACAGCTGGTTACCTGCGACTTCCTCATCCACATCTCACTTTCACTCCTCTTCAAATCTGACCTCTGCATGCAACCCCCCCCCCCCCCCGCTCCCATTCCCCCCCCTTAAAACATGTCTTACTTTTGTTGATGAATTAAGCTGAGCACTCAGCCGGCTCTAGTCTTCTCGCACACTGTAGATGACTCCGCCTCTCTTACTTGCAGGGAGATCATCCAATGGGGGTGTCGCATCTGCACTGCACCCTGAGCACCTGCATCTCCCTTGTTCCTATCCTACATTCAGTGGGAGCCGCTCAGGAAATTAGATCTGTGGGAGCCATTGGGAGACAAGCTGTCATTTGTAAACACAGAAGTCGGACCTCTGTGTTTACAAGTGATAGTGGTGAGCAAGGAGCAGAGAGTCTGAGACATAGGTGGGGGAACTAAGTTCTACCAGGTTCCAGCTGAAAAAAAGCCCTGGTTACCATGCACAGCTGCACCAGATTTTGCACTCTTCGGTTTTAGTAAATCATCCCCATAATGTCTCTAAAAATTTAGAATGACAAACCTTCTGTAAGGACTTCTAGACGAATCTTTCCAGTGCCTTTGTGTCGGTCTGGGGGATTCAGCACATAACAAAGATATTCCCCTTCATCTTGCAATTGAACATTATGAATTGTCACAGTTAAGTCATTTTTGCTGGGGTTTCCTGTAAATTCCATTCGGTTCTGAAACCGCTCAAGACGCTGGTTGATGATCTTCTTATCATACTGAATGAACTGTTAGTGGAAAAAGGTTATCAGAAGAAAACGTAAGGAAGTAAAGTCATTGAGGCACAAGGACACAGAAGGGTGTGCAGAAGGAAAGACAGTGGTAATTTTTACTGACACATTACCAACTTTTGGTTTTGTTAAGTGCTGTGGGGTTAAATTGTGCCCTCCTGAGGGTTTACAGTATTCTGATAGCAAAATTATTTTATTTGCATACATGTTTTTTGACACTCCATGTCTATAAATCACAATAGTAATCTTTTCTAGTTGAATGAGTTAAAGTGGTTGTTGTAAGCTTCAGTTATGAAATCTGAACGGTCAAGAAAAAAACACAAGAGGGCGCGCTCTCCTCGTGCATTACCATGATGACAGATTTATTAAAAGATAGATCACAAATACAGATGAAACTCGAAAAATTAGAATATCGTGCAAAAGTTCATTTATTTCAGTAATGCAACTTAAAAGGTGAAACTAATATATGGGATACTCATTACATGCAAAGCAAGATAGTTCAAGCTGTGATTTGTCATAATTTTGATGATTATGGCTTACAGCTCATGAAAACCCCAAATCCACAATCTCAGAAAATAAGAATATTGTGAAAATGTGCAATATTCTAGGCTCAAAGTGTCCCACTCGTATCAGCTAATTAAGCCATAACACCTGCAAAGGGTTCCTGAGCCTTTAAATGGTCTCTCAGTCTGGTTCAGTAGGAATCACAATCATGGGAAAGACCTGATAGTTGTGCAGAAAACCATCATTGACACCCTCCATAAGGAGGGAAAGCCTCAAAAGGTAATTGCAAAGGAAGTTGGATGTTCCCAAAGTGCTGTATCAAAGCACATTAATAGAAAGTTATGTGGAAGGGAAAAGTGTGGAAGAAAAAGGTGCACAAGCAGCAGGGATGACCGCAGCCTGGAGAGGATTGTCAGGAAAAGGCCATTCAAAAGTGTTGGGCTTTCACAAGAAGTGGACTGAGGCTGGAGTCAGTGCATCAAGAGCCACCACACACAGACGGATCCTGGACATAGGCTTCAAATGTCGTATTCCTCTTGTCAAGCCGCTTCTGAACAACAAACAACGTCAGAAGCGTCTTACCTGGGCTAAAGAAAAACAGACCTGGTCTGTTGCTCAGTGGTCCAAAGTCCTCTTTTCTGATGAGAGCAACTTTTTCATCTCATTTGGAAACCAAGGACCCACAGTATGGAGGAAGAATGGAGAGGCACACACTGCAAGATGCTTGAAGTCCAGTGTGAAGTTTCCACAGTCTGTGTTGATTTGGGGAGCCATGTCATCTGCTGGTGTTGGTCCACTGTGCTTCATTAAGTCTATCAGGAGATTTTGGAGCACTTCATGCTTCCTTCTGCAGATGTGCTTTATGGGGATGCTGACTTCATATTCCAGCAGGACTTGGCACCTGCCCACACTGCCAAAAGCACCAAAACTTGGTTCAATGACCGTGGGATAATTGTGCTTGATTGGCCAGCAAACTCGCCTGACCTAAACCCCATAGAGAATCTATGGGGCATTGCCAAGAGAAAGATGAGAGACATGAGACTGACCAATGCAGAAGAGCTGAAGGCCACTATTGAAGCATCCTGATCTTCCATAATACCTCAGCAGTGCCACAGGCTGATAGCTTCCAAGCCATGCCGCATTGAGGCAGTAATTGCTGCAAAAGGGGCCCAAACCAAGTACTGAGTACATATGCATGCTTATTTTTAAGAGGTCCGATTATTGTTCTATGTACAATCCTTGTTTTATTGATTGCATGTAATATTCTAATTTTCTGAGATTGTGGATTTGGGGTTTTCATGAGCTGTAAGCGATAATCAGCACAATTATGAAAAATCACGGCTTGAACTATCTTGCTTTGCATGTAATGAGTCTATCTCATATTAGTTTCACCTTTTTAAGTTACATTACTGAAATAAATGAACTTTTGCACAATATTCTAATTTTTTGAGTTTCACCTGTATATAATCACAAGCGTTTCGGGAGAAGAGCTCCCTTGTTCAGCTCTGAGGAAGGGAGTTATCTCGAAACACGTCAGCTATTCCAAACGGGCAGTTGTTGGGACAGGACCCCATTGACTGGGACTGAAAGATCTGGCTCTGTCTGTTTTTATGGTGTGCTTGTGATTGTCCATTTGTGACCTATCTTTTAATAAATCTGTCATCATGGTAATGCACAAGGAGAGTGCGCCCTCTTGTTTTTTTTTTTGTTTTTTGTTTTTTTCTGACTGTTCCTAGATTTCCTGATCTGTGGGCAGACACTGTGTGATATTGAGGAGCACCAAGATTTGAGCGCTGTTGTTTGACATAACTTTATGAAATCTGAAAAGAGCACAGCTACCTGTAGTGTTTACTTGTTTCTCTCCAAAGCTTTAAGTTCTCTCTGGTGCTCTGTTCTTCTGTTAACAGCATGAGTCACTTCTAACACGCTTTTCCACACATGAGATAAATTTGTGTAGGAGGGATTGGGTGTGGGGGGAGAGCTCAGCAGACAGCTTGTGTATTCAGAACATAGCTCATCTGTGCTGTGTGGAGGGGGATATGTCCCTTTCCTCCAATCAGCTCTAACTGCAGCTCCCTGCCCCCTCCTCTGTGATACTGAGAAATGCAGAAGGATTTTATCTAAAATCAGCACTTTTAAAGGGATGTACAAAACAGAAGACAGCAAATAAACAAGTAAAAATTATGCAGGAGGATTTGTTTAACCTCTGTGTATCATTTGAGGCTATTCACTTTACTGGGTTTACAACCACTTTAAATTTGCAAGCACTAGTATTTATAAAGGTCTCAAGGGATTTAAATACCTTCTTAGGAAACATTTTTCCTCACAGCTTGATCCTGCTGGTAACTAGGTGACCTGGATAGTGAGTTATTGAACAGTGGGAATCACTAGCTGCAGTAAAATGTCATTTTTTTTTTACAATGCTTATATCTACAGAGGACAGTCAAGGCTTGCTTATACAGACACTATCACCTTGCCTATGCAGTGTTAGCCACACAGTTACATAAAAATCAGGATGACTCCTTGTAGCACCCTCTATTGTGCTGCTCGAACAGTGTAGTATATTGTATGTAAAATCATTATGTGACTCATGGTAGTTGTGTGGGTCATGTGATTAAGGTTGGGTTATTACAGGTCAGCTGGATGAATCTACAGGTTGTGGCTCTATTGCCTCCTCCTCACTCTGGAGGACCATAGAACCTTCCAGAGGTCAGTAAGAAGGAAGGGTGGAGGCCTAATCTGCATATTCATGGGGGATCTGGCCGATCCCAGGTTTGGAGGCCCTGGTAGAGTGGCACACTGGCCTATAAGTATGGGGGAGTCAGGCTGATAGAGGAGTCTGAGGAGACTGTTGGAATCTAGTAGGGGTCCCCTTGGCCTGGGGTGGGCCGGCCTCTGGGTTGGGTTCGGGCTAGCTCAGGAAGATTCATTCTGCGGAGAGGCACAGATGGGATCAGGCCTGGAGCAGCAGGAAGCAAAGGAACAGTGGGAGTACATCAGCACACTTTGGGATCTACAAGGGGAAAGACTGTCACATGTAGCAAGCTTTTCAAGGACAGTGTTGAGCTAAAGCCATCTATCCTTGATCTGGGAGATCTTCCAAGAAGCCAGGAGGGCTGGTAGTTCCTGCTAGCTGGGGAGTTGGGGAGCAGCTTTGTAGGGTGAGAGAAGATGTCTCTGCATGTAGCTACAGAAAGTAGATTTATTTTTGAGAAGCTGCTAGTTCCTTGCCCATAGGGGGCAGCTGCTACTGATCCGCAACGACTGATGGCTTTCAGGAAAAGAACAGTTCAGGAACTGCTTTGTACATAGCAAAGAAATGTTCGCCTTCTATTATTTCAAGTCAAATGGGGCATCCCATAATCCCTATTTCTCTATTCAAGTTAAATTCTCCTAAACAAAACAACAAAACCAAGTTCATTTACTGGTCACTGTCTCTGGATGCAAGTCTGCTTGAAAATACTAGTTGCCTGGCTGTGCAGAGGGAGGCTTAGGCTTAGACCCAAAAGACAGCGGCCCTCACGAGGGTAGCGCTACACTCCTGTTTAGCATTGCCATGCCATGCAGCAGAACTGATAGATGTCCCTCAGTGCTTCTGTAAAGGCCATACACCCCCCACTCACCCTGCCTGCACTCCCTTGCCAGTGCTTCCTCTGTCACAGTCGTCACTGTATTCAGCAGCATTGGCAAACCACAGTAGCAGTGATGTCACTCCTTTGGTCACGTGTCAGTTCTCGGGCCTAGCAATTGGCTGCTAGTCCTCAGTATTGTCACAGGCAAGGACATGATTCCTAATACCCAGAAGTGCCAGGTGTGGTTGGCAGTGAGGGATTGCTAGCACAGTATGGTGAGTATAAGGAGGTCAGGAGGTGCCTTTTCAGAGAAGCTTTCATTTTGGTAACCGTGTCTCTTTAAAGTGCTTTAATTGCTTATTCAGAGTGTGCAAATATGCTAATATGCATAGTCTGGGCACAAGAACACTTTTAGACTGCTTTAAGTGTTTGCACATTCTTGCTGTATACAGCTTACAATGTTAACATTTCTCATGTTGTAAAGACAGTCCTGAAGATCACTCAAACTCGGTATTTTACATAAAAATAAAACTTAAGTGACCACCATTCTTTTCTCTACAACTGGAAGCTGTAGATTGTACTTTGAAGTGAACCTATGTTTGGTTTAGTTGCTCTAAACTGGAGGCAGCCATGCATAGCAGACACCTAGAGCTACTACACTGCTTGCTAAGATATCTTTTAGAACTATAGAGAAGCCCTAAAACCCAGGGAGGTCTAATGGGTTAATGGTTGTCTCACCCACTTCCCACCTCTTACTATTGGTCTATCTTTGTAATGGGCAGCCTGGCTGACCAACAAGGATGAGCTTGCGTGACCTCCGAAGTCATCTCTAGCAGATCCCTGAACTTATGCTCTTTTTTTACTCTAATGACTGGTACATTCCAACCTCTTTGTTGCATGAGCTACAAGCAGGGAATGACC